TACATCTAGCAAACCCGTAAGTGTGCCAGCACTGTGTGAAGCATTGAGAATACAAAAATTAATAAAACATAAATGTAGCCTTCATTTAAATGACAAAAAGAGGTACAAATTTGTTTTCTAATGTACATTTAATTAAGTTACTTAGAGAAATGTGTTTGTCTGTGGGGTAGGGTGGGCAGAAAATGGGAGTAAGGTAGGGGTAGTTTTGCTTTCTAAATACGTACATACATGCAATAAAGGCTTTCTGCATTATTACAAAAGTGCATTTCCAGAAAGCAGAAATGAGTTCACTCTGAATACCCAGCTGAATGATAAAGAAGCTTCCTATCAAGGCTCCTCAAGAACCCATAAACTGTCCCCTACGCCCTGAGTAATGTGATAGCTGAAAGCCCACTGTGCTGAACACAGGCGCCATTCAGTTAGCACATTCCTGTGCACTTAGCTTGTGTCCTTTCTGTGTATGTATCGGAGACCAGATGCTTGCTGTCTGACAGATCCAGGATTGCCGGTGTCAAAGATAATAAGCAAGCTTGGGGAAACATAAAACACACGGATGTTTTTAAGTGTCCTACCCACTGCTTGCTGGAGAGCCACTGAAGCAAACAAAAACTAACACAGAGTAACATGATAGGCAAGAAAGTTTTCCCTCACAGAGACAGAAGCTGTAAAAGCTTCCCACCTACCCAGGTCCTCACTGAAATCTTTAATTAGAAGCACAAAATTTTGGTTCACCATCTGCTTCCAACTGAGGCGGAAGAGAAAGAGAAATGAAATTGCATGAGGTCTTAGTAACAGAAACAAATTCACTTGGAAACCTTATCATCATCATTAATAAACACTTTGTGGCCACCCCTAATAGCCTACCACTTAAACTGACCATCTTCCAGAAATCAGACCTAAGTAGCAACCTTACCTAAGAAGCATCTGGTTCCTAAAACCTCAGTGTAAAAGAGACAGCTCACTGTTCGGCACCAAGAACTTTAAGGTCATTCTGACAGAGAGGGACAGTGGAGATTCCCATCCTCCTGTAAAAGCTACCATATGCTGAAAACATTTAAACATATGTACAAAGAATGGTAAAAAACAACAGACACAACATGTACCTTCAAGTGCTTAGCATGGTGAGGAAAACATACAAATGATGAACATACCAATGGTACTAATATGATTTTTGCCACCCCCCACTACCACCGTATGTGTCACTTCTTTAAATTATAGTATCTTGATAATTTAAAAAAAATAAAAATAAGCACATGCAACAAACATAAAAGTTGCAAATGTCCCTACTAGCACCCTAGGAGCTCTTAGTTTGGTTAGTAAATAGTTACCCTAAAAATGGGATGTTAGATCAACACACAAGTGTGTCTTATCATTTTGGTCAATGATTTTCAATAATAAAACCTCGTTAGTCATGGCTGGTCTTACATGGAAGGAAAAATCCTAATTAATTAAATCAAATGATCAGAAGTTTCAAGAATTTTATACTTCTGAGATACAGGCAAATTAGTATTAAAGCAACTCAAACAATTAGCCATGTTCACAATACATCTTTGAGCAAGAAGAATTTCAAATATTAATGAAGAATGTAACATAGTAATCCTCAATATGTGGCCTGCATTAGGCTTGTAAAGCATTCAAGAGAAAATTCCCTAACTCATGGGAAATTCAGTTAGAAAAAAAATTAAAATGGTACAAATTTGTTTTCTAATGTACATTTAATTAATTAACTTAGAGAGCATTTGATTCATTTTGAGATAATGTAGCCACAAATAATACCAAGAGATAAATATTATTGTAGAACAATTTTTAGTTCAGTTGGAATAACTTTTTTTAATTCACATCTTATTATGACTATTTCAAAGAATGAAGTAGCAAAATACAATATAGATCTTTTCAGCAAATAACTTACGCCAATTAAAATAGAAATTAGTGCCATAAATTTTCCAATCCATCCTGTTTTCACTTCCATTTCTGTTCATATACCCTCATTACAGTCAAACTCCCTGAGGCATATACAAGCATACACAAATCCATGCACATACACACATGTACACACCACTTATTAATACAGAAGTCCCAAAGTTATGTTCCTTCTCCTTCAAAGTGAGCTTTTATTTTTTTTTAAATGCCAATGAAAACTAGAATATGCAAAGCAACATGGCAACATGATGAAATCATTATATAAAACAGACGCCAGTATCACACATGATAATATCACTGAGTGTGACTAAGTATTTTGATCATTGCAATTATGAGAATATATTCAGAACCCACAGGCCAACAAGTCTACCTGCTACAATTACCAACAGTCATCTTAGTTAACATCTACAACATAACTGTACATGAAATGCAGATCTTGAAACATGTACTATACCAGAACTTGACTGGTGCTCAGATGGCAGATGGCAAACGGATGTGAAATGATGTGGATCAGATAGAATAAGAAAGAGAATGAGCTGAATGCAAGAGACAGAAGAAAGAGATTGATTATTAAATATTAGAGAAAGTATCCATCACCAATGATGAGAATGACAACAAAGTAATAACAGACAGACGTTCTTACAATCACCTCTGTTTTCAACTGCTTCTCCAAAATGGAAAAAAAAAAAAACACTCGCCATTATATCCAGTCATTAATAACATGTGGTTGCTGTTTCCCCATTATCTCTTTCCCTCTTAAGAATAAAATTGCTCCACTAATTACAATAAAGTGTTTTCCAAAGAAAGGGCAAGCTTTAGAAGTGCACCTGGCTCTGAGCACACTATATAATTTATCCTACATGAGTGTTTTTCCAGAGACGATCAACTTCTTAAAAAGCACACAAAGTTTTCCATTTCCAAATTCCTGGGACGTGACTTTGTTCCACACCATGTTGTTCTTGTTTTTATATCAATGTTTTGGAGAAACAGACTGAAAACTCAGGGAGCACTGGTGGAGACCACCTTTTACTGTTAGAGAAAAGATCTAGACCCTAATGATAGCATCTAAAACATTTCAAGTGACAGAAATAAACACCTTCTAGGGCAACAGCTCCACTTCATTATCTAAAGATGGTTTCTAAGTTGCAGTGATACTATTATTCCTCATTCTTTTAGTTTCCATCCGAGCAACGATTAAAAAGTACCTAAAGTTGGGCCAATTACTCATTCCCAACTCATCGACCAATCTTCCAACAATCAATTGTTATAGGAAACATTTGGCCAAACACTCAATTACTGACTGAGTTTAAAGGCAATGTGCACAAGACACCCCTAACCAATGCCAGTCCTTGGAAAGACCTTCCAGGGCTTGATTTACACAAAAAAGCTGGAGAGTTCTACTTTCCACACCTTCAGCTGCAGTTCTGAGAATAACTCCCATCGCTGTGCAGAATATTAATGGGCCTCTAAAGAATCATGCTCATCTATAAATAAAGGAATGCATAAATTCTCAATAGGCCAATTTTGTTAAGTAATTAAAATGAAAAATTGTGAGCAAAAATGCCATTATCTCCCAAAAGCTAGAACTCGTGTAACACAAAGGATACAAAGCAAGTAAGATTATATCATTTATTTTTAACACCTACATGGAGGCTCATTTCAGCTTTGTCCTTACACTTTTCCTCCACATAAGACCATCTAAAAGGTTTACTTTAAATGGACACTCATTTCCTCTACTTATATGAAGAGCTATATTTTTTATTTGGTAAAGCCTTAGTGCTTCATTTTAAAAAAAAATTACTGATTGTGGAGTTATAAAATTGAGGTATCAAGTTAGCAAAAACTATTTCTGTATTTATGTAAACCAATGTGTGGAATGAGGTCTTAAAAACATCATTTTACCTATGCAGCTTCCTCTAGGAATATATATATATTCCCCTAAGAATATATTCTACCTTCTTCCAATCCTTACAAACTGTCCTTCCTGATGACTGACTGAGGTTCTGACAGTTCTCCTTACAGTCCACAGTGGATTCCACAGTGGAACGGACACAGTTTGGACTCTTCAGACTTAGGTTCAGTCTCCCCTTTGCTACTGACTCTGATGTGACCCCAGGCAAGTAATCAAAACTCTCTGAGCTTCACTTTCTCCATCTGTAAAATGATGTAGTATCAGCTCCTCCTCAGATGTGACGTTACTCCTAAATACGACTAATAATGCTACTGATTATGTAAAAGTAAAAACAGCATGTAAGAAAGGCTCCCTTCCTTCCTCTTCCTCTTCCCTCACTCAAGGCCATTCATCTGGCCTTACTTCCAGAGAGAAAATAAAATCATGTTCACTTCAGAAAAGACCAAGAACTTTCTACAGACTAAGGTAAAAGTACAGGGTATGATTGCAATCATTTGTCACTAATAAAAGAAGCTAATTATGTATTCACAGGAAGAGGAATTTCCCATCATGGTGGTCAAACTTTTATTTCACATTAGAGTTTTTCTCTATACCTTAAATAAAGATATCTATGGTATAGCACCCAATGATTAAAAAGCAGGTTACAAGACATTATTAAATGTATGTGTGCACAAGTGTGAGCATAAAAGAAACTCTGGAAGGACAAACAACAAAATGACTATAGTGGTTATTTTTAGATTTTTTAAGGTAAGGATGGTCTTAACCTTCTGCTTTATTCTTTTTATTTATTTATTTATTGGGTAAATATGCAGGTAGCAAAACATTTTGTTTTATTACCTAAATTTTATAAATTTTTGCAATGAGCATGTAACAGGTTTATTAGAAACCTATCAAATGCATATACTGAAAGAAGTTACTTAAAACAATTCCTCTCCTTACAAAGCTAAAGAATTCATTTACATTTAATATGCATATTATCACAAAGGAATCCCTTGTTCTTGTGAAGTAAAGTATACAGGGAGCATTGCAAAGCACCTGCTCTCCCCCATGACTCTGAGGTCCCATGTTCACATACCTTGCAGATCAGTTCCAGGGTGTCCCGTGCAGTGTCCCCAGGCCGGACAACTGTCAGTGCAGGCTGATTATTTGGCAAACAAAACCAGGAGGGTGTGAAATACTCATGGACCCAAATGTCACAGTCAGGGTTGTGCTGGTGAACACTAGGTAAAACCACTTCTTTCTCCCTCTGTAATGAGAAATAAAATTTTCCAGATAGCAAAAGTTGGTACAGAATGATCTTAAGATTCCCAGGTTGTGCATCACCAGCAAAACCAGGTGCCAGTGAGTCACTCTCAAGTCATGGTGACCTCATGTGCATCAGTGCAGAACTGTGCTCCACAGCGTTTCCAGCGGCAGATTTTTTGGAAGTAGATCATCAGGACTTTCTTCGGCAGCACTTCTAGGTGCATTTGAACCTCCAGCCTTCTAGTTAGCAACTGAGCACATTAATCATTTGGATCACCCAGGGACTCCAGATGGCACAGAGATTACAGATTACTATGAGAAGGGCCCCAGGGCAGAACTAATAGCAGTGGTGAGGATAGGGTAAAATCGTTGGAGAAAGAAATTACTGAGCAGGAGCTTTATGGAGGGCAGGTAGACTTCTAACCTCAGCCAGAAATCAAGCAGGCTATACACATGACCCATGACAGTCACTAGTGGGGCATGGTGTGAAATACTGGGAACCAAATTATGGAGGAAAAAAAGGACAGAAATGGGCTATCCAGTCAGCTCAGCTTTGCTGCTGTTATTTTTTCCACACACTCATTTCAAATTTACAGCAGAAAATTCTAACAGTCAGAGTATCTACCATAAGGGCTCTATATATTTCAAAGGCAATAATGAGGCCCTAACAAAATTTTCAAAATAAAAATAATAGTATGGAAATACATATTTATAAAGGAAGGAGCTCTGGGTGGCACAGTGGTTAAGCTCTCAGCTATAAACCAAAAGGTCAGTTGTTCGAACCCACCAGCTGCTCTGTGGGACAAAGACATGATGGTCGCTTCCATTAAGATTACTAGCCTTGGAGACTCTATGGGGGAATTCTGTGCTATCTTATAGGATCACTATGGGTTAGAATTGACTCGATGGCAATGGGTTTGGTTGTGGTTCATTTTTGTGCTCTCATGTGACCTTGAGCAAAACTCTGGGAGAAAAACAGCTCCACTTCCCGGATGAGGTTTAGGAAGCTTCGAGGACTTGTCTTACGGCACATGGGGCAAAAACAAGCCTCCTTAGATGGTTGCCATCTGTCTTTCCTCTGCAACTCTCTCTTCTTACCTTAGGCATGTGCTAGAAACAACATATATAATGCTGCCTTTAACTGACACACGTTATTGTTGGTAATCAAGGAGTAGGAATCAAGTTGTGTATGTGAGAGAAGACATGTCTTATGTTCTAAATTCAGCAGCTATGTTAAACCTAAGCAAGCTCCATAACTAAAGCAGAAAACACTGTATATATTGATGAAATATTAGGGACCCAGAGAGATAAGCATGGAAAGAATGTTAGGTTCAGCAATTTAAACATAGTATCAATGCTCAAGATGCAATTAATAATAAGCCTTAAATATTTGCTTATCACCAGCTCACTTGAAACACCTTTCTACAGATTATCAAGAACAAGGCTAGTATTAGCAACTTACAAGAAAAAACATATGTCCAGACAAAGCCTGACTGGAGGTAACAAAGCAACTTCTGTCCAGAAAAAGAACAAAACAGGGGGAAGATGTGGGTAAAGACCAGTAGCTCCACCCAGCTGCAGAAGGCAATCTCAGCCCTGACTTTTAATGGTGTTGCTTTCACAGATAAGTTGGACCCCAGAGAGGGAACTGTCAAAAAGCAATCAACTTGTCTAAATCCCATTAACTATAATTGGAATCTTCCGACTTCATCCCCATGTGCCACATTAAATAGGTGCCCCTTAAGCACTGGATCAGCCCAAGTGTTGTGTCTAAACTGCTGTGTGAGAACAAGGCATTCTAGCCAGGAAGTGGGATAAAGAGGTATCTTGGGGGAAAAAATGGAAAAAACAAAAATGCTACACAAATCCAATGGGAAAACCTTTTCAATTTCCAGGTTCTGTGTGCCTGGAGAGGGGCAGCCTGATATTGTTATTGTTGTTAGTTGTCGTCATCAGGCCCTAACTCATGGCAACTCCATGCAAAACAATGAGATGCTGCTCAATCCTGTGCCATCTCCATGACCGGTTATGGATCAGACCTTTGTAATCCACAGGGTTTCACTGGCTGATTTTCAGAAGTACATCACCAGGCCTTTATTCCTGGCTCATCTTGGTCTAGAAGCTCCACTGAAACCTGTTCAACATCATAGCAGCATTCAAGTCTCCATTGACAGACCAGGTGGTGACTGTGCATGAGGGGCACTGACCAGGAATCAAATCTGGGTCTCCTAGGTGGAAGATGAGAATTCTACCTGAACCACCAATGCCCCTAGGCCAACATTAACAATGTACATATAACGTTATAGGAGTCCCTGGGTGGCACAAATGGTTCACTGCTTGGTTACTAACCAAAAAGTTGGTGGTTCAAAACTACCCAGGGGCACGCAGGTTCAAAGCTACTCAGAAGAAAAGCCTGGTGATCTACTTCTGAAAGGTCACCGCCATGGAAAATCCTATGGAGTACAATTCTACTCATGGTCACCATGAGTCAGAATCAACTCAACAGCAACTCTTTTTTGTTTTTAATAATGGTATCCATGATGTGTTAGCCAACCTCAGAAATGACTGTTAATATAAAAAAAGTATGGTTGGGTTGCACACAGGCCGAGCAATTTAATTTCATCAGAGACCGTGATGCTCAAAGAGAATGACATGGGCAGATATTTCTAAAAGCAGCTGCCTTTATGTTCACAACAATATTAATCCATGACTCATTTGAGTATAAAAGGAAGAAAAAGCCTTCCCACGGCCACTCTTCCTGCTCTCTCTTCTGCTCCAAGAGCCAGCACTCTGGCTTCAGAGGTACTTCTCTGTCTCAAAAATGGCTCAGCTACTGACGACCATCTAAAACTACTCAGTTGCATGGCAACCAAGAGCTCAATTCTGGAATATTGATTCTGAGTCCAAGAAGCAGAGGATCATACCCTATACACAGAGCTACTGGTATCTGTATCAAGGTCTTTGAAACGAGGGATGCCATTTATTTAGAGGCTGAAAAAAGCAGTCAAGAAAAAAATCAATATTCTTTATGGGCTTTCAATCAGAGCAGTTTGAAAGCCACTGTCAAATATAAGTGCAAGATCTAAGCAAGGTGGTGAATCTTTAATTGAATACTTAACTTGTGAGGCAAATGCATTTTTTGAGAATATACTATCAGAACAGTGCTTTCAAATTAATGGGAGAAAAATAGCATGTGTGGGCAGAGAGGGAAGGCAATAAGATCTCACCTGTTGGGAACAGAAGTTGTACATAAAAGGAATTGGCTACAGCATAAAATATTCTGCTACTTAGAACCCAAATTTTCTCTTACATTCTAGTTGGAAACTTACACATTCAAATGATAGGTATTGAAAATGTTATGTCAGCAGTAGAAGGTTCTTATTATTACCACGTTTTAAACATAAAATGATTTTCCATCTCTCACTGCCTGTTATATAACTTCAAAAGACCAATAATTTTGGCTTTTAATAATTGAGTCTGTTTAATTTTAGTATCACAAGAAACCACTTCATTTGTATATGTTGTTGGACCCATGGTACTTTTAGAACAGGAGCACGTGTTTATTTTTACCTTGCCATCTGGAACAGTGTCATCAAAAATTCCCTCTAAAGATTTCTTCACGGAGTCAGCTCCCTCCCCGAACACCTGCATATACAAAAGCATCATCTTAAAAAAAAAAAAAAAAGAAATCTGGGCAAGAGGGTAAATGAAGCATGGAGACAGGATGGGAAATTGGCAGCACTATTGAAAAACATTACGGAAGTTCTCAGATACTCCCACGTGAGATCCTAAAGCAGGCAGGTAAACATAACTCATGGTGCCAGACCACAAAAGATGTTCTTCTTCTGGATCACTGCCTACATCCTTTGACACCCTCGCTCTCCCCCAAAAAATGTTTGCTTTTAGAATTGGACAATTCATCTGCATCTAAAGACAATAAACTAGATTTGTTCAAAATGAAAAACATCTGCTAAAGCCTTGGGTATTTGCTGTTTAATTTTTTTTTTTTTGGGGGGGGGGGAATCTAAGAATATAAATGTATGTATGTATACATTTTTCCTGTAACATAATAAAGTTTCTTTTTTATTTTTAAAAATAATAGGAATTTATCTATTCTTTGAAATTTAATTAGTCTAGCTGACTTTAAGATATGACTAAAATCATAAAAGGATATTGATGCCACTAGGTGGTCAAAAAGCAAACACTTGTTGTTGTTGTTGCTGTTATGTGCCATTGAGTCAGACCCAACTCATAGCAACCTCTCCTTGGGTTTCTGACGCAGTATCACTAGTATCATTATAGAAGTAGATTTCCCAACCTTCCTTCTGAGGTGTGGCTGGTGGGTTTGAACCACCAGCCTTTTGGTTAGCAGTCAAGTGCCTTAGGCATTATGCTACCACTGAGTCTAAAATGAACAGGTTCTGTTAGCATCTACATGATAAGAAAAAGCCTTTTTCCCAATGCAAATGAGAAGTACAGAAACTATCACTTTTGTTCATTTCAAAGTACTAAATGAACAAGCAAATTTCTACCAGTATACTTAAGTCTAATAAAGAAAAAGTTCTTTAAAACTCTTACTTCTGAGTGAGAATTACAACAACTGATTATAATACATTACATTAACTTTTGATTTTTTAAAAGTAGGTATCAGTTTATAATCAATAATGTAGAATCTGCAAAACACCACATAATGTGGATGAACCTGGAGGGTATTATGCTGAGTGAAATAAGTCAATCACAGAAGGATAAATATAGTATTAGGTCATTGTTGTAAAAAGTCAAAGAAAGGTTTATATATGGAAGGAAACTTTCTTTGTTGATTACCAGGAGTGGAGGTGAGGGAACATTACAAAAAATTTTTAAATTTTTTTTAAAAAAAGGTATCAGTTTAAAAATTCTCTTTCATGCATTTAAATTCAATCATATATTTCAGTAACAATGGGCTATAACATAACATAATCCCACTAAAGTAGAACCACACGAAAAAAGGATTTTGATAGCTACAGACTGTGAAGCCTGACATATTTACAGTGGTGATCTGAGTCATCTATGACAGTGCATGCCTACAAAACATACCACCACCTCCCAAAAGAAGGAGAAACCTTGATTATTAATGTCCTCTCCGTGTAGGTCTAATCAAGAGCCAGCAAATCTCTTATATGACTTTGCTGACAGAACACTGATTCCTCCAGTTTTTTGTTCAAATTTACACAGAAATAAAGCCTATGGTGGCAACCTAGATCTGCTCCTTACTCTCCTCAAAGATCACAGAACAAAACGTACAATCGCTCATTATCATTCTGTCTTCAGGTTGCCTGCAGGTTCCATGAAAGTTAGAGACATTCTCTGTTCAAATGGTGAGCATGCTGGCCAGCTAAAGGGGCTCAGAATATCAATTTCACTTCTTTTTGAAAACTCATTTCTTAAGCAAACTAACTGTAGGAAGTATCAGAGCAAATAAGGAGGATCCTTTCACCAAGCCAGTCAACCAACTTCTCATCTTGCATAAACCAAAAGCATTGCCGTCAAGTTGATTCTGACTCATGGTGACCCCATGTGTTACAGACTAGAACTGTGTTCCATACGGTTTTCTTGGCCGTAATCTTTACTGAAGTAGATCACCAGGCCTTTCGTCCACAGAGCCACTGGACAGGTTTGAAGAGCCAACCTGAAGATTAGAAGACGAGTGCAAACCTTTGCATCAAATCAGCAGTTCTAGTCTTGACCTCGAAAATGCTGTGTTTGATTCCTAAGCACTGGAGCTCATGAATTAGACATTCTCATTCTGCTTCTCTCTAAAAGGCAAATACCATGTTCATTCCTTAAAAATCTGAATAAGGAATTCTGGAGCTACTCAATTCTCAAAGGAAAAGAGGAAGGGCGACAATAACAACAAAAAGTGAGTTTATCATAAGTAATGCCAGCATAGAAGGCCTTAGGTAAAATTAACAGGGAAGAACAGGGCCACAACATATGATCATGGGAGGCTGGGAGTGTACCATTCTAGTTATGTCATTCATGATGCATTGAGATCCCCTCTAAGCCCTCGTACCTAAGGCCACAGTGGTAAGTAAATACTTTCAGATTCTTGGGTCCTCATTCCTATAGGCAGAGGACTTGCCCATTTCATGTCAACCTCAAAGAGTCAAGGGCAAAGAAACTATCAGACTTCCCTGGAGGCTGCCTTTGATCTGGCACCAAAGGCAGCTTACCAGACTCTGCTTAGGTGCCCACTTGGCTTTACCATCAAGCCCCGCTCTTTCTGAAGACTCAGGATGACCTGTGTACTTTCAGGAGGTCTAGAATTAACCAGGGATTGGAAAGAATGCAAGTGGAACACTGTAGCCTGGCAAGAGACTAATAGAGTTTCATGTTACGGGTATATATTATCTATTAAAAATGTCTAGCACAACCAACTCTTTCATGTCAACTAGGTGGTTTTAGATAATATTAATCTTCAGTAAAGAAACACCCCACAAAGTGAGGTAAGAGTGGAAGCCATCTGTGGAGTCTTGTTTTTCATCACCTCTGCCATCTACCTGGTTGATGCTTGGGCGTCCCTGCTTCTTTTTGGAGGTAGTGTCCAGACCCCAAAGAGAAGAGAACCTGCTCCTTCGCTTGCTTGCAGATCTGGACATGGCCTGAGTACGTCTTCTCACTCCAGTTTCACCTGTGCGTGCTGCCACCTGAAAAAGGCAAGAAGGAGCATTGGTAAGGAAAATAGGTTGAGACTCACGTGTTCTTCAACCCCACTTAATCTCACGTTTCTAAGCATCTTCCTCCATGACCCCAGCCAATACTGACCTCACAACCCAAAGCGTTCATTCTAGGACTCATCTACATTGGAATTTGGAGGGCCCTTTATGGATTCAAAATGGGAATGAAAAGTCAGCCAACTCAATTATTTTAAAGTGCTTCAAAAATGTTCTTTGCCTTAAAAAGAAAAATCTTTAATTTGAAACCATTAGTAAAAATAAATAAAACTGTAACAAAATATATACATTGTTGCAAAGAACTAGATGTTCTCTCTGTCACTGGGTGGATGTCCAGCATCAAGTTAAACCATCCTTACTTTGTTGAGATTCTCCCCTAACGCTGCCAAGCAGGGTCAGCATTCTAATGAAAAATGGTACCCATGTATCAGCAAAAAAAAAGAAAAAAGGTTTTGATTCCTGTGACTCTGTATTAAGTCTAAAATTTCTAATTTCTTCTATTTTGTTTTCTCAGAATTATATATTATCATTTTTCTTATTGGGCCCTCTGCTGTTGTGGTGTTGTTATTGTTATGTGCCGTTGAGTCAAACCCGATTCATAGCAACCCTCCATGTGTTGCCGAGGCAGTATCATTATGAAAGTAGATTGCCCCATCTTCCTCCCGAGGAGTGGCTGGTGGGTTTGAACCACCAGCCTTCCGGTTAACAGTCAAGTGCCTTAGGCTTCCTCAATCAGAGAATCCCCAAATGTAGGGGCACACACATACAAATGTTGCTGTTGAGTTGATTCCATTTCATGATGACCTACTGTGTTGCAACTAGAACTGTGCTCCACAGGATTTTCAATGGCTGTGATCTTTCAGAGCACTGCCAGGCCCTTCTTCTGAGGCATTTCTGGGTGGCTTCACACCACAACCTTTCAGTTAGCAGTTGATGCTTAACCCAAAAGGGGATGAGCACAGGGCTACCCAAAGTTGACTTCATTACCCTGGCAGCAGGGCTTTGTGACTAACTTCTGGCAATGGAATATAAGTGGAAGGGATTTGCAATCTCTAGAAATTGTCCTTTAGAGAAGAGGGTTTTCCCTTCTCTTTTATTTTTCTCTTTAATGATGGCAGGAAGATTCACATGACAGCTGGTATAGGATGTTCAGAGAGAAGCCTTTTTAAGGACAGTAGAACAGTCATACAGAAGGGTCCTGAATCTCTGAAGATGGAAATGCTACTTCACTCTAGCCCTGCATATCCAATATTTAGGTAAAAGGAAAATAAAATTTATAATTTGGCTTTAAAAAGAGAGGAGGGAGAGCTGAATTCTGTTGAGATACTGTAAGGTACCAACAACTGGGGGCAGTGTGGTTCAGGGGAAGAATTCTCATCTTCCATGCTGGAGACACAGGTTCAATCTCCCAACATGTACCTCATACACAGCCAGTACAATGCACCTCATACAATGTCCATCTGTCAGTGAAGGGCTGAGTGCTGTTGGGATGTTGAACAGGCTTCAGTGGAGCTTCCAGACTAAGACAGACTAGGAAAAAAAGGCTTGGTGACTTCCTTCTGAAAATCAGCCAATGAAAATCCTATGGATTGAACCTGTCTGATTCGCAACCAATCATGGGAATGGCACAGGACCAGGCAGTTTCATTCGGCTGTGACTGGGGTCACATGTGTCGGAGGCTGACATGACAGCGGCCAACAACAATAACAACAACAACCCAGAGAAATATTTCTGATGGGAGCGCTCCAAGTTTAAATCTGCCACTGCAACGACTGCTCAAGTGGATGTTGAATGTCCATGAGGACTCGATGAAGTCCTTTCCCCAAAGAACATAATTCAAGCTTGAACTTTATCCTACAGCTTATGAGCAAAGTCCCAGAAGTTGAAGGTAACTTCTGCCAGGTGGCCTCAATAGGCCACCCACAGGCTCTCCTTTCAAACAGGGTGTGGCAGGAGGTATAGCAAGTCTGACTTGAACTGAAACTTCCCCACCCGCTCTTTGTTGCTGGAGGTAAATGTCTTGGAACTACTTATCATAGATTCCCACACAGGTAACTCCGAACGTGATGAATGCCAAATGGCAAGCAGTCTATGAGATAAAACACTGTTGGGTAACAAAGAGACTCCCCAGCAAACAGCATGCTGGTTAGAAGGCATGCCTCACTGGAGTTTTCAATACTGACAGTGCAAACACAAAGTGGGCATCATGAGTAGATTGGCAAGGACCCCCACTGACATTAAAAACAGGAATTAAAATAGTTTCTTTGCAAATATTGCAGGGTTTTGGATCCCAAATTAAAATAGGAAGATGAGCAACCTGAGAGGGCTTTGGATTTTCTCAGCTTGTTGTTGTTGTTATGTGCCGTCGAGTCAAACCTGACTCATAGCGACCCCTCCTTGGGTTTCTGAGGCAGTATCACTACGGAAGTAGGATTTCTCAGCTTAGCACATAAGAAAACCCAGATCAGGGCAAACAAGCATGTGACACCCAAAACACTGGTGGGAATTTTTATGACAGAAAGCTCTTTAATCTATTATGCTCAAGGTGTTATGGAGAATAAAATCACAAAACAAAAGGCAATATTAAAGATGTAACAATATTCTCCATTTCCATCACTTTCTAAGTTAAAGAACAAAGGCTATAAAAGGATGAAGTTATAACATACTGACACATGCACATCCTCAAATGACTGCATCAGTATCAGTTAAGAATAGCATCATCAACTGAGGCTGAGAATTTTAAAATCCTACAACGCAACACAACGCACTGCCATTGAGTTGGATTCGACTCAGAGAGACCCTTCCTCGGATTTACGTGGCAGTATCACTACAGAAGTAGATTGCCTAACCTTCCTAGAGGGGGAAAAATGCCTTTTTGGTCTTCTATCTATAGATGTATTGACAAATAAACAAATAGTTCTCTAAATAGATACATATAAACATCCGTGTTGCTGTTGTTATTGCTGGCTGTCATCACATCAGGCCCTGGCTCATGGAGACTTAATGCACAACAGAACAAAATGCTGCCCGGTACTAACACATCCCCATGACTGGCTGTAGACCTGACCGTTGTGATCCTTAGGGTTCTCATTGGCTGATTTTTGGAAATAGATTACCAGACTTTTCTTCCTAGTCTATCTAGCATCTGTGGAAGCTCCACTGAAACGTGTTCAGTATGATAGCAACACTCAAGCTTTCATCGACAGATGGGTAGTGTCTGTGCCTGAGGTGGACTGGTGGGGGATCGAACTCTGGTCTCCCACATGGAAGGTAAGACTTATACCATTCAACCACTAAAAACTAAAAACAAACCAACTGCCATCGAGTCGACTCTGATTCATAGGAACCCTACAGGACAGAGTACAACAGCCCCATAGTGTTTCCAAGGCTGTAACCTTTATGGAAGAAGACTGCCTCATCTTTCTCCCACAGAGTGGCTGGTAGGTTTGAACGCTGACTTGTTGATTAGCTTATTGTTGTTGTTGTTATGTGCCACTGAGTTGGACCCAACTCATAGCGACCCCTCCTTGGGTTTCCGTGGCAGTATCACTACGGAAGTAGATTGCTCCATCTTCCTTCCGAGGAGTGGCTGATGGGTTTGAACCGCCAGCCTTCTGTTGACTAGTAGCTGAGCATTTAGCCCACTGTGCCAACAGGACTCCTGAACCACATACAGGCAACCTTATATACAACTACATGTATTACCTCATTTACACATCAGAATCTGTACTTATTGTGTGTATTTAATTGCTTACCTGTTTGTTCTCCATCTTTTGCATAGGAATATAAATTCTTATAAGCAGAAATTCTGTGTTGTTCCCTGTTGTATCCCTAACTAGCTGTTGTTGTTGTTAGGTGCTACCGAGTCAGCTCTGACTCATAGTGACCCTATAGACAACAGAATGAAACACTGCCCAGTCATGTGCCATCCTCACAATCCTTGTTATACTTGAACCCATCATTGCAGCCACTGTGTCAATCTACCTTGTTGCGGGTCTTCCCCTTTTTCGCTGACCCCTCTACTTTATCAAGCATGATATCCTTCTCCAAGGAATGGTCCCTTCTGACAACATGACCAAAGTAGGTGAGACCAAGTCTGACCACTCTCACTTCTAAGGAGCATTCTGGCTGCACTTCTTCCAGGACAGATTTGTTTGTTCTTCTGGCAGTCTATGATACTTTAAGTATTCTTCACCAACACCACAGCTCAAAATCATCGAAAAGTACCTAACACATGCCAAGTATATACTCAAAGATGTTTGTTGATTTGAATGAACAAATACATAAACAAACACCAAAATATAAAAGCAGAGATCATACATAATGTGGTTTAAGCCATTAAATAGTAACTCTCAGTTTAAAATTAAAACAAACAAACAAAAGCCTTTAAAAGAGACACTCAAGGAACCACAACTAGTCTGTTACCAGCTGACCAGAGAGTTCAGTCTGTTTCACAAAATGATCACTTTACTCAAATTCTTATAGTAACTATTTTAAACTGTTTGGGGCCTCCTAAACTGTGAAAGAAACCCCTACTCCAAGATAATAATGACTCCAAATGAGCAAAGGATTTAGAAGAACAGACTGGCAGTAGAACAACTAACTGGACAAGAGCTCAAGAGTTTCTCAGTGATCATCTTTGCCCACACAATGCCTCTCTTTGTGGTCGGAACCTGATTACTCTATCATTCTGCTCATCTGTGCAAACAAGAACAATGATAACCTTCTTTCAAAGAGGACAGCAGGGACCCTTTAGTTAATTACCGCAAATCACTCAGCATTATGGGAAGCTCTCCTAGTGAATGGTACTTAAATTGTAGCTCAAATCTCCTCCCCTAACCCTGTTACCCTCACACCTCCGCCTCCCTCTCCCCCACTTAAAAGGAGGGAAAAAAAAAAAAAAATCTGGACAAAGGCTAAATTGAGGACTGTTTCAACCCTCAAGGAAAAAAATTGTCCTGGGGTCAAATGACAAGGAGAGGAGGGAGAAATAAGTATTCAATAAATCAGATTGTAAAATTCCCTGACTGACATCCTCCCCAGCAGCTGAAGCAGCAAACAGGAACCTACACCCAACAGGCACTCCTAACTTGTTCTGTCCCAAGTGACACTCCTCATGGGAAAGATAAGAGTGTAAGGATATGTAAAAGCTCAGCTTTGCATCACTGACACAGCTAGCAAAGACAGGACAAAGGAACAGAGAGTGGAACATCTGGAATTAAATATTCTTCTTTAAAAACACTGATCAAAAAACCTGAAAGAGTTACTAATTCTCCCACCCCTATCTTATGCTGCTTAGACCTTTTTTCCCTATATTTTAAATTTGTTTATTTATTTTCTTCTGGTAAGACCCTTAAGACAACTTAAAAGTATATAGCTTCTTATCTTTTACAAAGTAGCAAATGTTAGGTAGTATATTGCTAACATAGGTGACTTAACTATACGAGTTGTGATTTTATTAATAAGGGCTAGGATGTGGGAATAGACTTTCATTTGACATATACAGCTTGGGTAGCATAGTGGCTGAGGCACTTGACTGCTAACCAGAAGGCTGGTGGTTCAAATCCACCAGCCACTCCTTGGAAGGAAGGTTGGGCAATCTACTTCCATAGGGATACTGCCTCGGAAACCCAAGGAGGGGTTGCTATGAGTTGGGTCCAACTCGACAGCACATAACAACAATAGTTTAGTCATCCTTTCTTAAAACAGCAGATCTTCTTGCCTAGAATTTGATGTTGTTTTTCAAGATCAAATTGACAATGACAACCCAAAAGGCTGGATGGGAAAGCTTGAGGGCAATAAGTTTAAGATAATAGTGGTAGAGTAACAAAGAAAAGGATAGCGGGAATGGTAGCACAACCTGAAGAAAATAACAAGTGCCACTGAATTGTTCATGTCGAAATTGTGCTAATGGTTTGGCTGTGTATACATTCACCAAAATAAAAATTTTAAAAAAGAAGAAGATATGGTTGGTTAGATTTTATTATCTACCCCAATCCATAAGAAAAGTACACACACTCACAGGACTGATTAGAGCAAATTAGAAGGAAAAGAGATACAGTGGCTTTTACTTCTCAGAGAGGATAGTTCTAATGATTTTGAAGAAAATAACTGAAGCATAGAAATTTTAGGTATAAAACAAAATTATACTCTCCAAAATCTATCATGCCACAGTAAAAAGACCTATTCAGATGCTTAGGATGTAGTATTAATAATAAGGTTGTACATTGACATCACGCACTCCCTTAATAAAAATGGTCCCTTAACGTATGACATTGTTACAAGGAAAAAAATAAGAACTGTTATCCCAAATTTTTGCAGATTACTTAGATTTGCAAACTTAGATTTGCCTAGGTTAAAATGTGGTATCCAGGGTCTCAGAGAAATAAATCTAGAGGCACAAACTGAAAACCATTTGCAAGATTTATTCATCCCACTACTCTGCCCAACCACTCCTAAAAAAAAAATAGCACTTAATAGCTAGATGGAGAGGTGGTAGCCAGGGAGACCAAGAGCTGAGCTGTAATTATCAGAACAAATCAGGATGCCAGTTTTAATAACTCCAGAAATTGGTTTAAGACTTCTTTAAAAATGTAAATCTACCCCTAATTATCTGAATGATGACGCTAATCTATTTATAAAGAATACAAACGCCTCTGACTGAATTACAGCCCTGAATTCAATTGAAGGGTACAGCTGACACCGCAAGACAAGAGCAGCACAGCTTAGGGTTTCCAAAGCCATTTCTGGAACCTGAGACTTAACACTGAATTCCACAGCAAATGTACTAAGGTGCAGTACATTTTAAGTGGGTGTTGACTTGGATAGGTTAAAACCATGTTACTCAGATAGCAATTTTTAAGAAAAAGAAGTCAAAAGGACATAAAACTGTTCGCAATTTACCAAGTACACAAAATTACAGATTGCAAACACAACACAACTATACCATCTGCTTCTGTGGAACTCAGATGGAAATTTCCCTCCCCAAACCGTATATGTTTGGCTGGTGAATCATGGAAGTTCTTTGCTTTCTTCTAATGCATTATGGTCACTGGAGTCCCTGGGTTGTGCAAATTGTAAACACACTTGGCTGCTAACCAAAAGACCGGAGGCTCACGTCCACCCAGAGACACCTTGGAAGAAAGGTCTGGTGATCACTACTGAAAAATCAGCCACTGAAAACCCTGTGGAGAGAAGTTCTACCATGACACACATGGGGTCGCCAGGAGTCAGACTTGATTCTAGGGTAACTGGTTTTTCCAATTGATGGTCATTAAAATAATAATAAAAATAGAGCAAGCTAAGTAAGCCCGTGTTTAATATATGGGATATGTGTGTGTGTATATAAAAAAACACAGAGAACTATAACGACCATGTTTCTGTCTGAGCTCAAAAGTTTTCCACTTACCATTTCCATAAGATTAACATAAAAAATAGGTATTGGGGTTCAAAACAGGATACCCCATATAGATAACAAGAGCTATCAATAACCACGACATGCAAACATGACTTAAGACTCTAACTTTTGCATTTTCTTTGTACAGTCATTTAGGCCCCATCAAAAGAGGCTTAAGTAACAAATTTCAGACTAAGTTCAAATAAAGACTTGCACCCACTGCAAAGAGAGGACAAGTCAGAAATCCACATGCAATGGAAAATGAGCAAAACATTTATACAGTCCTGTCAAGATAAATATGTTTCAAAAGTACATCAGGGCTTCTACTCACCAGGGCATGAAAAGATGATACAGAAAAGATTCCAAGGCGGCCCATGGCTACTTTCGTTGGTCGACTTGCAAAAGCAAGTAGCCTCTTGGGGTTTGGCAGCTCCCCACCTTGGAGGCTGGCTAAGTAACAGCGGTACCTAAATAAGTCCATTTGAAACTGTTCCAGATTTTGCTCCCAAACAAAGATCTATAGTGGAGAAAATGGGATGGAGGAGGGTGCAAGAGGGGGGAGAAAGGGAAAACAAATGTTAACAACTCTATGCTACATAAAGATTTCAAGTAAATACACTATAAAGGTACTAATTACAGTATAAAATGGTAAACAGTGGGTATCCTGAGTTGCTAAGATACAGAACACATTGATATTATTCTTTTCATAGTTTTCCACCACCCCCCCTGCAAAGATTTATAGTCATAAATCCAGTATTATCAACAGAAAGTATATTAATAGTTGTCCAGTGCCTTTCTATTATAGATTTTATGTTTGTAGGCATTATATATCCATCAGCTCTGAACTCTGGACCACAAACCCAAGGCAGAAGAAATAAAAATGTCAGAAATGTGAAGGCTTCTAGTGCCAGAGAATTACATGATACACTAAGAGGTAGCTTTTCACAGGGGGACCAAGAAAAGACGCAAAGGGAGGCTAAATGAAGCACAGAGGCAAATTATCTTTTTGGAGGAGGTGAGTGATACAGAGTATAGGAAGGAAAGCAGAAAACACTAGATGGGGGCGGGGAACCAGACTCTTGAATACATAGTTCCAATCATCAGACATAGCTAAGACATTTCTTCATTTTTGAAAGTGAGAAAAGAATGCCTACTACCTGAGGCTGATGTGATATTTAAATGAGACAATTCAAGGATAAAGCATAGTACAGGATCTGGCAAGTAGAGAAGAGAAGGTTCAGGGATATTAATAATGACACAGATCATGATTAATGATTGGTAGCAGCCTTTTTACTTGGATTTAAAATACAGTGTCACATATGCCAATGTTCACTGCAGCACTATTCACAAAAGCCAAAAGGTAGAAACAACCCAAATGCCCATAGACAGATGAATGGATAAACAAAACATGGTATATACAGATGATGGAATATTATTCAGTCATAAAAAGAATAAAGTTCTAATAAATGCTACAACATGGATGAACTGTCAAAATGCTTTGCCAAGTGAAATAAGTGAGATACAAAAGAAGAGATTTTTTACACAATCCCACTTACATAAAATATCTAGACTAGGCAAATGCAAAGAGACAAAAAGTAGATGAGTAGTTATCATGGGTGGGCATTGGGGAGAACAGGAAATTGATGTTTAATGAGTACTGAGATTCTGTATGGAGCGATGAAAAAGTTTTGGAAACCAACAGTGGTGATGATTATACAACACTGAGAATATAATTTATGTCACAGAATTAAAGACTTAAAAATGGTTAAAAACTGCAAAAGTTATGTTACATGTATTTTACTGCAATAAAGAAAAATAAATTAAAAAAAAAAAAGAGTAGAGTATCAGGTAATACAGGCAAAGAAACGTGGAAGATTGCGCACTAGCCCAGCACAATTGTTCAAATAAGTATCATTTATTCACATCATTCCTTCCTAAAGAGTAGAATAAAAATTCAAAGCTTTACTAGACAGCTATCGATTATTTTAAAACAATTGAACAGTGGGCAAAAATGCCCTCTGTTCATTACACTAAATCTTTCCTTTTTTTAGCAAGAAGTAATATACAGCAATTACATACATTTTTTTCTTTTAATGTTTTCTGCTTTTACCTAAGAGAAACCACTACTTGAAATTTACTAACGAATCAGAAATGAAATGCCACTACATTTCAGCTCCAAGTCAGGCTGGCAATTTGGGGAACGGAATGGCAGACTTCCTAGAAAAAGCATGCTGTGGGAGGAGCAGGATGGCTCCCCTATTAGAATTCTGTCTTTTATTCAATGTAATATTGTTCCCTTTAGTTCAGAACAATAAACTGTGAACAATGGGTGAGGAAAACTGACAGTCACAATAAAGACTTCAGCAGCCAGGATGACAAGGAGATAACCAGTGATGTTTTCCAACTCCAAGGCAGCAGAAAAACTTGAAAGACCTAATGATTTCACCAGGGTCTAAAAACAGAAGAATGATTACCTGATCTAATATAGTTTTCTTCTTCTTCGAATCAGTGACTGAAGACAGCTGCATCTCACCCATTTTCTTCATCTTTTCATCCATATCAATCTTTTGCTCCAGTTTTTTGATTTCGGACTTAAGGAGCCGGAGTGTGTCTTCTTTGTGGTGATGTCTGGCGACAGCAGCCGCACAAGCAGAATGGATCGCAGTGATCCAGTTTTCCAGCTCCGTCTGGCTGATGGTCTGTTAGGGGAGGGGTAAGGAGAAACAGCCACCTCTTAGGAAGGTAACAGAGATGAACAGATTTCCAGAGAAGCAATCCCTAAAGGTCAAGGTGACAGCTCTAGAAACCCCAAGGGTAAGGCTAACTTTTCAGACCTCCTTCAGAGAATCAATAAAAAGTTCCTCTAAAGTCAGACTCCCCAGACCCCAAGGGCTGTGGCTGGAATGAAGCCATCATGCCTGTTCATCCAACGGGCTTATATGAACTTACTTGTACGTGGAAAAGTCCCATAGAGCCAGCTCAATTTCTAGTCAAGAGGTTTGCTCTGAGGCCAAGGTCAGCCTCCAGAGAGAACTGGTCACTTATAAGGCATGACTGGGGCTGAGGGACACTGCTGGCTATTACAGGTTAAACTGTGTCTCAAAGAAAGATATGTTGAAGTCTTAACCCTTGGTATGTTGGAATGTGATCTTTTCTAGCAATAGGGTGTGCTTGAGAATGTGATCAGTTAACATGAGGTCATACTGGAGTAAGGTTAGTCCCTAATCAGTATGACTGGGACCCTTATAAAAAGAGAAGAGAAACCGAGGTAAGATGACTATTACAGATTGAATTGTGGCCCCACAAAACGTGTCAGAATCCTAATCCCTGTACCTGTGGATGTAATTCTATCTGGAAACAGGGTTTTTCTTTAATGTTATGAGGTCATACCAGTGTCGGGTGGGTCCTATACCTAATCACTTCTGAGTTTGAAGAAGACCAGAACAATCACAGGGACACATGCACAGGGGAAGACAGATGCCATGTGAGGATTCCCTACAAGCCAGGGAACCAAGGAACACTCAGGGCTACGGACAGAGGAGTCAACATGGCTGAGATCCTGATTTAGACTTGTAGTCTCCAGAACTGTGAGAAAATACATTTCTGTTCTCTAAAGTCCCCCCGTTGTGGCATTTGTGCTGTAGCAGCACTAGGTAATTAACACAACAGCCATGTTAAGATAAAGGCAGGGATTGGAGTGATGTGTCTACACACCAAGGATTGCCAGGAACCACCAAACATTAGAAAGATGCAAGGAAGGATTCCTCTCTTTCCCCCTCTAGAGCTTTCAGGAAGAGTAGGCCCTGCTGCTGACACAGGGCCATGCAGACATGATTTTGGACTTTTAGTCCCCAAAATTTTAAGATAATAAATTCCTGTTGTTTTGAGCCATCCAGTCTGTGGTATTTCACTACAGCAGCCCTAGGACACTAATGCACAGACCATAAAAGACACAACAGCCCTGCCCTCGAGTGAACCACTGTACCCCAAATCCAGATGTCCTATCCCGCTGCTAAGCAGCAATGGCAAAACCAGGGTTGGGGAAGTAGTTCTTGGCAGCTGGAAACAGACTGCCACAGGTGACCACATGGGAGTATCCAGACCACCCAGCTGTATTGCAGCTGCCCAGAATGGCATGTTCCACAGGGACTTGAAGACAATTTGGGGCAACACCCACCAATGAACATGGAACCTCAAAGTGTAATTGCTGTGATTCAAAGATGATCTCCAAAGGCTTAAAGTCAGTAAATATTTTGGGGAAGTGGCTTATGCATTATAACTCACTACTAATGATTCTGTAGAAACTCCATCAACAAGTACTTGTAAGTAAGGGAACGCTGAGCTTTTCTAGCATGTCTCCCCTTAAGCCCAAACTCCAAAACCCAAATTCACTGCCACTGAGTTGATTCTAACTCATAGCAACCCCCACTAGGTTTCCAAGGCTGTATGTAACTCTTTATGGAAGCAGACTGCCTCACCTTTCTTCTGCAGGGCAGCTGGTGGGTTTGAACCAGTGACCTTTTGGTAGCAGCCAAATGCCATAACCACCACACTACCAAGCTCTTTTCCCTTAAACCCTGAAAAGTTTAATAAATGCTCAGAGGGTAGGTAACCCGAAGAAATGGTCTATTTAGTCACTACACTACTAAAGTAGGTGCTGACGTTTCTACAGCACAAAAAATACTGATGATTTTTTCTTGCATGCATCTTGTCAGTTTTCTAACTCAATTGAATGATGGTTTAAAAACAAAACTCAATTAATGGGACCTCACCAGCACATTGCTTTATGTTGGTTGGCAACATATGGGGGCCATTTCAGATAACATTCTTGTAGAAGTAGCAGGAAGGAGCGGGAATGTCTCTTGTGCAGAACTCTGGCACTTCAGTGCTCAGTGGGAGGCCCAGATCCAAAGATGCTTTAACCAAGCCACTCCACAGCCATCTTGGCCTCAATTTCAACCCTCCCTTCCCCACCCCTTAACTCACAGGATAGGGGGGAAAAAAATAATACCTACAGCTCTGGAAAGAGCTAGCTCTGCTAAATACAAGTTATGAACATAAAATTTCCAATGAAAATATTAATCTAGAAGGGGTCTGGGAAGCCATTCCACTAAATTAAAGCCCAGAAAAAAGGAAGAATGCCATAGTAATTTTCTGAAAATCTTGACCTCCACTAACTGGTGGTTTTAAATTGTTATTATTTTTTAATATGCCACATTGCTCCCAATATCCCAGTTCTCATCAATTCTTCTACAAATCTTGCTGTAGGGTCATTAGTGTGGGCCAACTAATGATTTGAACTCTCCCCACTTCTAAGAAAAAGAGAGAATAGAATCTTTCTGCCCTCATTGGAGTCAGACATGGCCAAGTCACTTGGCTTTGGCCAATGAGTGTGTGGAAGTGGTATGTGTCATTTAAGACAAAAGCCTGGTTAACCTCATTCTTGTCCATTTGCCCACAGTCATGAAAACATGTGTCATGATGGAGCTCTGTCAGCCTAGTCCCTAAGTGACCAGGACAAGTACAGATTCACAGCCAACCTCCATCAGATGTGGCAGGAATGAGAAGGTAAGTTGAGACATGGCTATCCTTGGGTAGTACAAATAGTTAATGAATTTGGATGCTAACTGCAAAGGTGAAGGTTCAAGTCTTCCCAGAGGCATGTTGGAAGAAAGCCCTGGAAATCTACTCCCAAAAGCTCACAGCCACTGATAACCCCGTGGAGCAAAGTTCTACTCTGGGATACATGGGGTCGTCATGAGTCAGAACCAACTGAGTGGTAACTTTTATTTTACTTACTGCAACATAATCTAACCCATCCTGACTGATATGCTAGCAAAGTAAGAATTTCATTTCAAAGGAGGTGATGATTTTTAAATAAGAGTTAAATACAATAAACTTTTAACCCCATCATCTGATATGTTCCTTAGAACAACAGCCTTTTGCTCTCCTTGTTTAATGAAATGGGAGCCCCTTCTTCTCTCCGTCTGTGAGGATCCCAGCCAAGCTCAGCCAAGGGCAACACACTCCATTCAGATGTCAGAGTTTATGTTTGCCACCCATTGAAGAAGTGGAAAGGAAGGAAGGTGATACCAGTGGATGAAGTTAAACATCCTTGGAAAGGTGTATATTTAATTCTGGCAAAGCAGCTATCCTGGAACTTACATATTGAATAGAAAGGAAGAGAAAAATCATACCAAACACCAAACCTAGAGAAACATATATAAAACTGTGTCATCACAGCTTTATGAAAAATTTAGTCATCAGCACTTTTAACCATTATTAAGTATGCCTCAGCTCTGCAAACTCTTTTAAAACCTGTCAGTGCCCTGACAGCAATTCCATTAGAGAGAATTTTTGCTCCTGCTGTCCTGTCTAAATAAAACAGCAGTCCCTGCCATTCTCTATCATTAAGCCAAATCAACTTCTAAGAAGCACAATTCACTAAATGAGCTTTTCAACAAAGTTTGTCCTCTTCAGTGGCATACACTGAGCTGGTTACGGACGAGAGGATGGGCAAACTCAGCTGACTGCTTTAAACAGCTAGTTAAGTGGAGAAAACTCTAGAAACACTTTATGACAGTTTACAGGCATAACAGTTCAGAGCTGATCACAGCAGACTACTAATTTGATGCAATGTTTTCCAGTGTGGTCTCTCCAGGATTTAAATTCTGATGCATTAGAAAAAGCTGCTCTAAGCCACTAACCTTGCATCACCTTATTAAACCAGGCATCTTTAATTAGGAACACCAGCTTTGCTAAAGGACCCTTCATCAGAATTCAATCACAAAAGCAGGAACAAGACCACCCAATGGTACCCTCTCAACTTCCTCAGAACACATCATCTTCCATTAAGCAAACAGCAGCAGACAGGTAGAAAGGGTGAATTTTCTGGTTTTTCCTTTGCCTTGTGGGGATGCTATAAAACATTATATGAAGTTCAGTGAGGAGAATAAGCAAAGTTCTTGCCAACAGAGGAATACAATCAGAAAAAAAAAATTCATAAAAGCCCCTTTGAGTACAGAGTTAAGATGAAACTCAAGGCTTCATTATGTATTTAAATAGATCAAGCCTCAATTATCCCAGCTGAATGGAGGACACGCGGTGATTTCAGATAATCAATGGTTTACATGAGTGGCAGGAAAAGAGAAATTCGTTTTAAACAAGAGACATATTAGAGAATATATGCCAGATCTAGGAAACTGAAATTTTGGATAATTTGAGTTTTATGTAAGCATAAGAATAACTGTAAAATAGGTCAAACTCTCCTTCACCCCATTACCAAAGAATAAAAGGAGACAGGAAAAAAAATGTACTGTTTTTCACAGGGTAGGTGGGAATGAAGTGTGAATTCTTAAAAGTCTCTTTTCTCATTTATTCTATGTTTAATATTCTATTATTTTATTTATATCTGCCTGAATTAGTTTATAATTTTTAATAATGTCTAAAAAAGAACTGGAGATTTCTTTGTATTCATGAGCAGATTAATAGAACTGCACTCCTCCTGCCCTCACTTTGCCATCCCTCATCCACCCAAGGTTAATTTTCTGGAGAAAGAAGGGAGGCTCTTGACTCCAAGATGCCACAGAAGGCAAGAGCTTGGTACAGTGCCACAAACAGAATACACAGAAGCCAACCCAATGAATGGCTAGCAAAGCTGAAGAAAGAAAAACAACAACAAATATTATCAACTGGGCAT